AGGCCGGCCCACAGTATTGACAGCTGAACAGATTCTTCTCCCCTCGGCTGCTCTGTGGCTGCCGAGGAGGATATGAATGTATACAGCCGTCACTACTGTGTGGCAGCTTCAGTGATCGAGAGCGGCGATCACTCTTCTCAGCTTTTTCCTTTCAATGAGAAGAGTAAACGCCGCTGCGGCGGCCGTTTTTAAGTCCCCCTCTGCCTACAATCTCGACGGACTGTAGGCTGACGGACCTCAGTGGGCCCCTACAACCGCTTTGGGCCCCTTGGCGGCTGCACGGGCGGTAGGTCCACCCCTGGCTCTATTGATTGGGAAGTGATCGAACACATACCGTCGCTCACTCACTTTCCGATCATCTCCCTGCAGAGAGCGGACTCCTGAGTTTAGTGTCACTTAAACCCCTTGCTGTGGCCCTTTAAGTGGGCTCTGATACTGGAGGCCAGTAATAGGGACTCCTGATTATGCAATGACTGTGATTGACTGTGCAGGAATGATGTAATCATGAGCCTGCCCAACCAGTTCCCAATCATGAGCTGTTGGTGACAGCTCAACCACAGTTCATGGGGCTTCAATTGAGCACGCCCAAAGAACAACACAAAAAGGGTCAGTTCCCTAGCACAGCTCTCTCCTTGCATGTCATAGCATGGGAATGTCTACTTACTCTCTGTGCTGGCTCAGCTCCTCTGCTCCTCCCCTCAGCTCCTTACATAAGCTGTTGGGGAGGAGTGAAGAAGAATACAATCTAATGTCATTTGATTAGCCTGCTGGGGCTGCTGACATCGCACCCGAGATGAGCAATCTCAGGGCTATTGAAATTCTACACCAGGGAGGCTTTTACAGGTAAATAAAACTGATAAAGTTCAATAAATACACATGTAATCTGATGGGAAGATTGTTGTGAAATGAACGGTTTGGTGACCAGGTCCCTTAAGGGCATGCTCCTACAAAAATGCCAACATTGAAAGGTATAGATAAGCACATTCTAAAGCACACTTTAAGATGCCTGAAATGCTATTGCAGCTAAATCAGAGCCATTAGCCAGTGTGAGCGTGGATTGCCGGGGCGCAGTACCTGACATGTGACCACTTTCTAAATTCCTTTGTGCAAAGAGCAGAATTCCGGGGTCATACTGCGTGTGACTATTATAGAGAAGCCTCACTTAAAATCTGCAACACAAGACTGCTTCTTCCAGCTGGTTTAAAGCAGAACTCCACCCAAACAAATACAGGGTTGGTGTATAAAATATATGTCAATTAATTTACCTCTGACCTTACTTGTGATTGTTTCCAACTCTTGTGTGAGGACACAGCCATTCAGAGACTGCAGCTCTGCGGCTTCCCCAGCCTCCGGTCTCACTGGATCAAAGGAGGGTAACCTGGGCACCACTTCAGCTGTCCCATGAGGCATTGCAGGACTCTGACATCCACAGGCATGACTCCCAGAGGCAGAGGCATGATGGAATTTGTACTTTCAGCACAGCTGGCATGCCAAGGTTGCCTACCTCTGCCCTAGATAATAAAAAGCATCAATAAAGTCTTCCTGAGCTCCCTCCTGTGAAACACCATAGCCTTCTGCCCCCAGTGGCTAAAACATGTTAAGATGAAAGGACTTGTAGAGCTTAATTGGCTCACCGTGCTGATTCTCACAGTCACAGCTTGGTTTCTGGTATTCAGGAGATCATATGAAGCCAATATGGAGCAGCGGCAATAATACCTGTTATAATACAATAGAGAAATTCTACTCATTTCCTGTGCTGGTAACTTTTGTATCCAGAATTCAAGAGAGTTATTCACAAAGCTAGCCGAAGGATCAGCCGCAGCTCCAGCTGATCCTTTGGCTAGCTTTGGCCGCCGGAGCCCTTCGATTCATTCAAACCAAAGGGCTGCTGTACGGGCTATTCACTATAGCCTGTACAGCTCCCGAAGCTGGCCGAGCGGCTCAGCCGAGCCGAAGGCATATGCTGCAGTTCCACTGAGCCAAAATGAAACCCGAAGCGGGGCAAACGGCTGGTCCGCCATTGGCTGGTGTTCTATCGAAAGCTCGAACTCGTCAAAATCTCTAACTACCTCACTGCCGGGTATGAGCAGTCCAACTCCTTTTGCACTTCGGCTCAGCCGAACATGCTGAGCATGTTCAGCTGAACCGAAGCCAGCCGAAGTAAGCCGGTGTCCGGCTAATTTCAGCCAATGTACAGCTGAAATCAGCCGTACAAGCCTGAAGTGAATAGCCGAACAGCGTTCAGCTCACTTCACTGCGGGTGGGTTATTCGCTCGGCTACCTTCGGCAGCTTTGTGAATAACCCTCCAACAAGAAAAAACAAAGCGTTTTGGTTTGAGTTCCCCTTTAAATGACGCCTTTAATGGCCATTCTAGTAAAATGAGGGTGAGGTTGATCATCCCGATTGTATTTATAAATAACAGTAATGACATGGCCTTAATTTTTTTTCAGCCCTTCGAGAGGCACAGAGGTTACTGCTATGGAATTAACGTCCTAAAACTAGCTTATGAAGATGCTTCAGGAGATCCCTACTGCCCTCTAGCGATCATCAACGACAGGTACATGTTTCATAGTGAAGCTGGATTAAAATCTGCCACAAAGCAAAATAATGTGTGAGAAGCCTCAGGTGGAAGCTGTTGTGCCCTGACTGCAGAGAGCAGCTTTGCTTCCCTGGAGCTAGCATACAGCTGCAGCATTGGTAAGAGGCAGCTTCGTTTTGAAGCTTCTCACAGGCCTTATGAGAGATTACTTTTTATGGCCCCTCTATTTGCACTGTATGTACATTATTTCTGGACTTAAAGAACTCCGCGCAAACTTTTATTAACCCTTGCAGTGGGGTTACCCTCATGCTGCAAGGGTTAACAGCTTGTTTTCCTCTAGGTGCTAAAGTAGAAAAATATACTCACTGGAGGGCTGCTGCGGGTCAGAGCTACATATAGTGATAGCCGGCGGCGGGATGGGCTGGACATTAGAAATGCGCCCCCAGGGGTCGCTCCTGGGTCGGTGGGGCTGAGCTAGAGAAGGAGAGAGTGCACTGTGCTGGAGTGCAGTTTAACTGGTACTGGACCACATAAATAAACAGCAGCATCCTGAAGCAGTTCTACCAAGATCATGGTTGCTGCTGCAGCAGCTGTGATCTTAGTGCCGTTTCAGTGATGCCTGTTCACATACAATCGATCTAGCGATGCCGGGGAGTGTGCGCTTCCGCCGTCGGTTATCTCGGGCTTCCAGCTGCTGATCTCTAGACAAGCTGCGGAAAAATTCGGTTCGGTTCAGATATTTCGCTATTTCGGGATTCGGATCCGAAATTCGGTTCGGGTTTCGGATTCGGACAAAATTCAAATTTTCGTTAGTTTCGGATGAGTTTACGAATATTAGTTGTGAATACCACAGAAAACCATATACAGATATTAATACTAAAGCTTAATCTCCTAGACCCAAATGGCATTCGGGATCCGAATTTCCCAATTGTATTCGGGAGCCTTAGCTTTAGTAATATATGTACAGTATATGACTCTCAGACCCAAATGGAATTCAATACAATTCGGAAATTCGGATCCCGTATTCCTTTTGGGTCTAGGAGCCTCAGCGTTAGTATTATATGTACAGTATGTACTGTATATGGCTCCCATGTTGCCATAACGAAAATTCGTGTTCAGACCCATTAGGATGCATTAAACCAAAAAAACAAATCTGATTGGCCAGAAAAGTCACATCTCTACTGATCTCCCCTCTGATCACTGAACCCGGAAGTGACGTGTTTTACATTACTTCTGGTTTCAGTCCGTCAATTCTCCAGCTGCTCTAGCCGAAGAAGAAGCTGGTGAAGCATGATATGTGCTTCATCAGCTTCTTTGGTTCCCTAGGTGACATTATTGGTCTAATACAGGGCTCAAAATTTCCACTGGCCTGCTCGCATTTGGCGAGTAAAAATAAAGTGAGGGCTAGTGGAAATTTGGGTCTCCAAGTACCGGTCCGTGGGCCAACTCCGGCCTGCGAGCCGGTACTATGTGACCAGCAGCCTGCTGACATATCAGGCACACTGTGTCGGATGCAGACCTCAGAGCAACTCCTGTCAGCTCTGGCTTCCTTCGGCCGGAGCTCTGACTGTTCTGAGCTCCGGCTGAAAGAAAGGATGGATCGATCCCTGGTTATCTGGGGGTGATAGTGAGGTCTGTTGCAGACCTCACTAATCACCCCCAGATAACCAGGGATCCATCCTGCTAACAGCCTCCTCCCTGCAAAGACGTGAACAGGTGAGGGGGCTGGGGGGAAGGGGTTGAGTGTATTATAATATCCCCTGTTATCAATGAACAGGAATCCTCTATGAGTGTTCCTGTTCATTGATAACATGAGAACATTGTTTGTTTACTATAACTACAATTATGAATGAATGGGGGTGATGTAGATCACTCCCATTCATTCATAATTGAGGATATAGTTAACATACCATATTCTCTTATGTACACACACTCAGCGATCACTGAGTGTGTGTACCTTGCTTTTCTCTCTGACACGCTGTCACAGGAGGCTGATCGAGCGTTGTAGAGAGGAAAGCCTAGCCTCCTGTGACAGCGCTGTCTCCGCCCCCACACCGCTCTGCCGGACTGTGATAGGCAGCAGAGCGGTGTGGGAGGAGAGACGCCGGCCGCTCACAGCGCTCTTGTCCTGCAGCGCTCGGCTGGCTGTCACTTTCTTTTCTCCCCGCTGGAACAGCGCCCAGCGGGGAGAAAAGAAACCAGGGATGCGCCGATGTATCGGCCGAAACATGGCTCTTTCGGCATTATGCCAAAAGTGCCATTTTCGGCCGATATGTTTCGGCGCTGATATATCGGTGCATCCCTACTTACAACCATCGCACGACTTGCGTTGTGCGATGGTTGTAAGGTCATTAAAATCTTGTACGATCTGCCCATCTTGGACAAGCAGATTGCACTTGCGATCATCGGAAGCCCTCCCCGCTTAGGGGATGATTGCAGTGCCGAGCGGGCAGCGTGCGCTTGCACACAACGGCCATTCGTCTTCCGACCATGCCACCAACCCGCCAAAAATCGTACGATTTTCGGCAGGTTTTCCAGCGTGCTCTGAAGATGAAAGTCGTGCGACCTTACAGTAGACTCGGTCGCACGCTGCCCATACACCTGCAGATTATCGTACGATCGCGGGATCACCCACAACTATCGTACGATAATCGGCAGGTGTATGGGCACCTTTAGTGTATGTGTATATTAGGCCCCATTCACACCTACAGTATATTTCAGGTTGAATTAGAGATTCCCGTGTCAGGAACTTGCGTTTTCCTGCAGCAGGAATCCCTAATCTGCCGTTTACAAGCGGCAACTATCATATGATTATTTAAGAGGGTGTGTTTAGGGGCGGAGTTAAGGCCGGGGCAGGGTAAGGGTTAGGTGGGGTAACTGGTGGCTAGTAACTCTTAAGGCCTGGCTAGTAGCTCAGGACTTGAAATTTTGAGCCCTGGTCTAATAGATCCCTAATGTCTCCATAAAGAAGACCTGTCACATCCTCTTTGCTATTACATAGGGGGATTTTTATCCCTCTATATGATAGCAATAACATTAAGTGTAAAAAAGTTTAAATAAAAATTTTAAATTTAAAAATTTAAATAAAGCCACATATAAAATAATTTAACAAATGCAAAACTTTTTTTGCAGACAGGGTTTGCAGCACCTACCAGTATGCAATAGGAAAGGGCAGCTTTAAAAAATATGAAATGTGCTTTAGAATATGCAGGGGGTGATGGAAAGCATGTTGGAGGTGTGGGAAAAATTTACAGAAAGGTCAACTAACCTTTCAATGTGTACATGGCAACAGCAGGAGAACTGGGCACTTTTTTGTTTCACACAGCGCACCACAAAGGTGTGTGTTGTGGTCTGTTGCAGAGCAGGTTTACCAGCACCTCTTATACTTGTGTGCTGGGGTTGTATTGCAAATGAACAGCACCACAACACACTACACAGAGTACTGTGCTTTACTATGAATTACTACAATGCATAGTTGTGAAGCCAGCCTAAGGGGCTGTGTTGATGGGCTTTTGTTTGCTTCAAGTGGGTTTTGTATCCCAAGCAAGTCTTCAAGATTGCAAAACTCACTTGAAGCAGGTCAGTAGGAGGCCAACAGCAGGTCAAATGCACATGTCAATGAATGATCTCAGAAGGGTCTTAAATTGATGCCATCAACCTCACATATTAAGAGTCAGCCGTTCTGTGACATAACATTGACTCAGTCATGTGATCTTCATCTGTCCGTAGGTTTGAACAGGCTTTTGTCAACAGCTTCATATTCAGCAGAATAATATCTGGGGATTATAACTTTTGGATTGCTTTGCAAGATGTCAATGGCACTGGAGAGTATGCTTGGACAGCAAAGAGCGCAAGGCAGCAACACTTGTCCTTCACAAACTGGAATGTTGGCCAACCCAGTAAGTAAGAGTAGATATGAGTGGAGTGTTTTCGATGAAAATTATTTGTATTGGCAAGTTTTGCAGAAACCTAAACTCTAAGCAGATATAAAAAACACAATTGAATGCTTTTGTGTATTTCTATAAAAATAAATAAATTTTTACATACATCTAGTAGTACCTGAATCTGGCTTGGTTTTAGCCCCTTCCACTGCTTGCACAGCAGCAATCAGACTGTAAGAAGGAGGGGCAGAAAGGAAGAGCCAATTAGGTTCTGCTGGATGCACATGTGCTGACTGGAGGAAAGAGAAGAGTGTGGAGAGTTGATGACTTACTAGTGTGGGGCTGTTCCTTCATTGTCTAATAAGTAGACTGTTCGTGAGAGACAAATGAATCTGTAACGATACAGAATTTTAAAATAAATCTTGCACAGCAGAATCTACAGACTGACACTGTAGATAGATATTAAATAGATAGTTAAGATATATACACTGAGTGGCCAGTTTATTATGACCACCTGACGTTTGTAGGCAAATTAGCAATAATTGGCTATAATTTCGCACTGAAGTTGCTAGAGGGCCAGACCATTATAAATAGGGAAGCAGGTTGTTTACCACGACAGTAGAAGTGTTTGTTTTCTGAACGTGGGATGAGTGTTGGCGCTCAAGCCATGGAGCGAGTATCAGCAAAACAGCAGAATTCGTTAAATGTTCAAGAGGGGCTCATTGTTAAAGTGTTTAAAGACTGGACTGTCAGCCGAAAATCTGGGTCTGAACGTGCGAATTGTGGCCGTCAGCGACTAGTCAATGTTAGGGCAGAACGGAGAGTGGCAAGACTGGTACAAGACAACAGAAGGGCAACAGTGCAGTGTCAGATTCCTCGCATCACCTTTCAACATCTCGCGGAGTCACAAGGCGGCCCAACGAAGTCATCTCGTGGAGTTATCTCGTGGCCCAACGAAGTACTGATGGGGTGGTCGTAATAATCTGGCCACTCAGTGTATACACAGTATGATAGATAGATAGATAGATAGATAGATAGATAGATAGATAGATAGATCTTTTTAAGTCATTATTGTAGTCCTAAGTTCTCTAAGTTGAATATCTTTTGAGACTTATTTAGGTCGCAATGGAGGGTGTGTCATTGTGACCAGACCACATCTTGGACACTGGGAAGTGAAGGACTGTAATAGCTTCCATGCGATGTCACTGTGTAAGACGCCACTAACGGCTGACATGGAGGAAGAATGGACTACACCCACAATAGATAAGGACCAGGAATGCCCTCCATTATGGGACTCAGAAGCACACCTGGAGCACTGCTATAAGGTAAACATTCACAGGAACAATGCCGAAGCAGCCGATTTGTATACTGGACAAAATTGTACAAGATACGCCGTATCCAGGAGGTACATCATCAGTGGCCACCCAATGGCCAAAATGAGTCGTGGAAGATGACCAAGAGAAGATGGCAGCCCGGGGAATGGTAACCTTGCATCACCGGGGGAGGGTACACTAGGATGTAATTCTGCCATAATATATAAATATGCTAAGCAAAGAACAGGCAGATGTTGCTGCCTACAAATCAGTACAATCAGTATAGTGGGATCCAGATACTAATTTAGGTTCTCCCTGCCAGATAATAAATGTGGATAATGATCCACAATGATCTGCACGTTTATACTCAAACATAATGTTCTTCTCATGTGCGGTAGGCAACATCATCAATTAAGCTCCAAGTCGTTTTATAATTAATGCATGATCCGAGTCTGCACTGTGTCAATCATCCCAGTGTATGGAGCAATCTTACCATCTGCTAAAGATAATCATGTTGCCTCCTGTGCCTACATTAACATGTGTACAAACACCACCACTTCCCTAAGCTTCACACTAAATAATAAAGAGGATGATAGTTCTGAAGAAATTGTATATTCTATAATAATTCTCAAATAAATACATTTACCCAACAAATTGTTAATATGTATAAAAGATGAATGCATGTGCTGTTTTTCAAGCTAGACCCTTGAGTCTACATCTGTAAAATGTATTCCATGATGTCTGTTCCTTGGTGTAGCCATAAATCTGACTGTACATCTTCTATTACAGGTCTTCCACCATGAGAAAATGCTGAGAAAGAGGACTTGGCGGGAAGCAGAGAACTTGTGTCAGGATTTTGGTGCCCATCTTGTCAGCTTTGCCCATTTATCTGAAGAGAAGTTTGTTACAGAGCTTTTAAGCAGCATGTTTAATCAGTAAGTATTTGTGTGAGAATCCCCAAATTAGTTTTTTTCCTCCTGTACCCAGGTTTATAGTGGGTGGGTGAAATGTGCTTAAATGTTGGCTTTGTTAAACAGTGTATTAGGTCAGCATTAGGTCTAAATACCCCCCATTGTTTATTGCCCTGCTTTATTGGTATTATGATCGTTCTTGACAAAATTTGGGTTTTAAAGTGTGTGTGCAAATCCAAAATCTATTTTTCAGCATGTATTACATAATTTCTCACTGTGTACAGTTTTCTTAAGAAAACATTGTGAATCTACTTGAAACGTTTCTTACTTGAAGATCCTGATAATAATAGTAATTCTTGTTGAAGGCTGACGCGCTAAGCCACTGCCAGTTGTCACCAAAACAAGTGCCCCAGTTGGAATATTTCACCTCACCTTCTATTCCAGTGACAACTTTAACATTTTGGATCTCCCATCACTCTCTGTGCTGGAGACAAATGGTCTCCAGGGCACAAAACAGAGGCACAGAGGGCAAAACAAACATGTTAGAGGTTCTGGCATGTCCACACTCTATCAAAGCTAAAAAAAAAAATACATAGGCTTTAATGTGTACCTGCCCATCCTATAAAAATAGGAAAGTCCACCCAAGGTTACCATGTCACATTTAAGTGGACACTGACTCATACCTTTTGGAGACCCCAGCTGAAAGATTTTTCTTGAAGATCCTCCCTTTCCCCAACCAAACACAATTAAAATTTGTACATGGCTACAGGTCCAAGCCATCTCCATTCAGTAGTAGATGAAAACTTCTTAGAGATACGTCACTCCCCAACAGAACTCTACGCAAGCACAAACTAAGCTGAACTCCTCTCTCCTTCAGACTAAAAACTATTTTATTGTTCCAGGTCCAGCATGGACACTGACATTCCAACTCCAACGCCTCTCACTGTTTCAAAATTTCACTCTTAGTGGAACTTAATCGTAAAGGTCTATGATTAAGCATCACTAGGTGCTTAAGCACAACTAGGACAAAATGCTTCAAAGAGCGGAATGGTTTGGAGCAGTGTCCATGCTGGAAATGGAACAATAAAGTTGCATTTAGTCCAAAGGAGAGCAGTGAAGCTGTAAGTTTTCTTTTCTCCACACACAGTGCCTTCCTACCTCTGTTGGATCCAACATCTTCTATATTTACACCCAACATTTTGGGCCGCACTTTAAAATGTTCAACAGACATTAAAACTCCCTTTTGATATATTACAGAGATGATCGTCGACAATTCTGGATTGGATTTAGCAACAGTAATCCATCTTCTGAAGGGTCTTGGGAGTGGTCAGATGGAACTCCGGTACGTATTATCACCGAATAAAAAAACATGCATTTAACATTTCTGCTTGTGAAATGTATTTATTTATATTTTTATAATTGTATTTTAATTCTGCTGAACCTTCAACACATTTATTGTTGGTCACCTGAGACTTAAAGTAAACATGCTACAATAATGAGCAACTCAAAATGAGCACATGATGAAAAAGAAAAACGTGAACAGAGGGTTCCATGAGTGAAAAAAACTTTGTATCAAAACAATAGCTGAAGTTACATGCAAATGTCTTAATTGTGGCTGTCCATCATATTAAATAGCCAATAGGGAGGTTCAGGAGGCAGAAGGAGGCAATTGTGATATAGTGAAATAACTTATTAAGGGCGTATTTCAGCCGTGATATTGTGATGTAGTGAAATAACTTATTCAGAGCGTATTTTAACCATGGGACAAAGGGGCCTCTTCAGTTGATGACCACCCAATTCCTCCTTCAATGATATAAAAACAAATTAAATCTCTAAGATGATGGCAGCAATAAATCAAACAGTCATTTCAAGGGGTCTAAACCATTTCGTGCATATCCAGCAAGTGGGATTAAATGGTTACTTCCCTTCTTTCAGCGGCATTTGGCTAGTCTGTCCAATAATCCCCAAAATATCCACTGGATCGTCTCCAGGCTGATCTTTGTGTTGGAAAGTCTTTAGCGTTTCGTTCATTAACTTTCTCAACTTTTTGAGAAAGTTAATGAACGAAATGCGTCAAAGGAAGAACTGCCTCCGCCTCTCACAGCTGAGTGCTGCTAACACTCAAAAGCTTTGATGCTCGTTGTTTCTGTAAGTGCATTCAAATGTTTTATGAATAAATATTTTTTGTTACTGCACTTAGAGAGCCTCGTTTTTGTCTCCTTCATTTCCCCTGTGGGATACCATCAGGTGAACACCGCCGACTTGGGCGGTGTGAGACCAGTCAACCGGAGTGGAAGGAGAGAACCACGCCTGATTGCCTGACCAGGAGACAAAAGAAGGAGGTGGAGTAACTAAAAATATTGTGTTGATTATTGGACAGACTAGCCAAATGCTGCTGAAAGAAGGGAAGTAACCATTTAATCCCACTTGCTGGATATGCACGAAATGGTTTAGACCCCTTGAAATGACTGTTTGATTTATTGCTGCCATCATCTTAGAGATTTAATTTGTTTTATTTATATCATTGAAGGAGGAATTGGGTGGTCATCAACTGAAGAGGCCCCTTTGTCCATTGGTTAAAATACGCTCTGAATAAGTTATTTCACTACATCACAATATCACGGCTGAAATACGCCCTTAATAAGTTATTTCACTATATCACAATTATTATTAATGTTTTTTAATATCATGGTATTCACCTACCCAGTATGTATATATTAAGCCATTGATGGTGATAATTGGCACAATGTTTGTAATGTCACATTGACCGAGGAGGCCTTAGTGTTTCATGGTCCATCACGTTTTTATGATTGAACAACATTAATATTCTTACCTTTCACTATATAAATCATGCACATGCCAAGTCATTGATATTCGTTGATTGGTACATGAAATTATTTGATGTTAGATTGATATACACACCTATAGGGTGGATTTGTTTACTTAGACCGAGCCCAATACACTTGCAATTCAAACATTTATTTATACACAGTGTTGCGGCTGGTCCAATTAGACTGTTAGGTACACACTCCTAGCGCAGTGATTTTTGTTTTTTTACAATCTCATAAATGTCACCATGGAGTCCAATCCCTCCAGCTCTGTTTTCTGTAATGGAACTTAAAAGCTTAGGATATGTTGTTCACAAACCCACACTCCTTAGCCTACCTTAAATTGACACTAAACTAAATACATTCATGGACACTAACTATTAACAAAAATGTATCTTATTTGTGTATCACTCGGCTGTAGATCCTCAAATCATCTCTGAATTGGTGCTGCACTATCCTTCCCTCTGGAGGGGGGCTACTTTGTTCCCCATGGTCCATGTGTGTGTTGTAAAGTAGCCACCGCTCCAAGCTCACTCCCATGATAAACCATAATTTCAATACAAATTAGCTAACTAAACGTGAGATTGTAAACCATTATGGGAGCGAGCTTGGGGATATGGCGACAGTGGTCATCAGAACACATAGAGTGGGTCAATCTGCCCAACACAGGACAGCAATAAATACCTGAATAAACCCTTTTATATTCTATCCAAAGCAAAAAATAAAATTGACTATACATAAAGTATACTTTAAAGAAAAACCTGTCACATGGGGAATATGTAGGCAGCCATTGCTGATCTCTCCTTATGAAAATCCTAGTTGCTTGGCTGTCATGCTGGTGCTTTGGCTTTTTGTACATGCCATTGTCGCTAGACTAGAACAAGTATAAAGATCAACCAGCATTTTCGGAAAGACACCAGGAATGGCAGCCCATATACTGTATTTCTCTTGTTACAATAAAGGATTCATTTATTCATGTTTAACATGGACAAAATAAAACACATTGTTTTATTTGTAGCTGAAGTACCACTGTTCTTCTGTTGCAGGTTGTATCTGCATATTGGCCAAATATATACGTTAGTGGAGACTCTGTGAGCTGCGCCGCGTTCAGAGCAAATAAGACGGTTCTTTCAGTAGATTGTGAAGAAAAACTGGAGTGGGTATGCAAAATTCCGAAAGGTACAATCTTACTTTAGTATGTGCTGTTTTTGCTAGCCTGTTTTTTTTGTATGTCTTGTATAAATGTAAGCCTTAGCACCACTGTTTAAAGGAGAACTATGGGGTTAAGGCTTTTCCCCATAGTTCTCCTTAGGGTAACGGGAGGACACAAACTAGCGTCCTCCCGTCACCCTAAGCTCAGGATACAGCTCGCGGTATACTGAGACATCACAGTATACCGCGAGCTACTGCTCGCGGTATACTGAGGTGCCACAGCTGAAGCGGATCCCGACAATTATGTCTGGATCCGCCCAGCTGCGTGAGTGACAGCTGGCTCTGCCTATCTAGAGGCAGAGCCAGCTATATCCGCCCCCTCCCCTGTCCGTTCGGCCAGTCAGCGCTGGCGGAGCGGGGAGGCGGAGCGGGGAGGCGGGAATCCCCTGTCACGGCAGAGAGCTGTGACAGGATCGAGAGGTAAGCGAATGCCGGTATGTTTTCGCTCACCTCCCGATCTACTGAGCCGACCTGTGACAGTCTCATTGTCACAGATGGGCTAGAACTATGAGGTGAGTGAAAAGCACTCACCTCATAGTTCTCCTTTAATGATAGATTGCTTTATTCATCACCTAAACATTGGGGCAAACTGCAAAATGGCTGTCTAATGTTGACCATACACTATACCGGGGACGACGACGACAAATTAATATGGAATTCAAGAGCTGTCCAAGCCAGGATCCAGCAGGATTCTCTTAGGAGCCAACTCCATTGACAACAACTAGAGAAAGCTTCAAAAGTTGGTCACCAGCTGTAATTTTTAAATAGCATTGGCTACCTGACTCCTGGGATTTGTCCAGTCCTCTACTATATAATTTGATTGTACAATCTCCTTTAGATCTACCAACAACTATGTAGTATGAGGGCCTGACTGAATGAATACAATATACATGGCTTGTTTAGAAGTGTTTTCAAATAATACACTTTTGGTAAATCTAAAGGAGATTGTACAGAAATTGTGAATAGTGAGCTTAAAGTGGACCTTCACCCCCCTTTCACTAAAATCACATCAGTATACAACTCTGCATGCTGATATGAAATCATCTTACATTCATTAGCTAATCAAACACATTTTTATTTTATTTGCAATTACTTTTTTTTCACTTCCTGGTCCTCTTGGGCGATAGTGATGCAATCTGTGCCCAAGTGTTGCATCCTGGGAAGGTTACATCAGCAGAGCATTCCTGGGAAATCTCATCTGTAGTCTCCTCCATGAGTACCTGTGACAGGGTGACAACTAAGGTGAGGAATTGAGAGAGAGCCTTGTCACCCTATTACAGGAAGTGCCTGAAAAATTATCTTCATGGGCAGGCTCACCGGGTATTATTTTAATGAAAGCTGCAGATTTTAAAAGATTGATAATTACTTTTGAAATATTGTGACCATGGTCAAAATGTATGTGACTTTAGTGACTGGGTTACCATCTACCTAAGGCCAAGTTCGCACGGGCAGGCAGGGGGTGGTAAAAACAGGCCGGTCTTTACCATCCCCTGACCCCCCATCTACAATTTGACATGGTAGCCTCGTCAGGACCATACACATTGGCGCAGCCACAATGCTTAGCTATTGCACCTCAGCATTTTGGCTGCCTGCCAGATTTTCCATTTGAAGTCAATGGGACTGTGCCACAACCATGTGCCAACGCCTGATGAAAAAGAAACCAGGCATTCAGGAGGTTTCAGTATCACCTTCTGCACACTGGCCAACCACCACTCAGTCAGTAGAGCCTACAACCCATGTGAAAGGACTCTTAAAGGCTGCACGGCATGCAAATTATACAAAGGTGGACTTTTCCTTGAATTGGATTATGGTCAGCAGATAAGCCTGTACATTAGAGGAATGCTGCTTGTCCAGTTCAATAAACCCAGTCTGCTTCACTTGCCCTAAGTACAGACAAATAAGGAACACATCTATAGCTATAATAATTGTACTATGGTTAGTTAGTTAGTTAGTTAGTTATGAATTGTATTTGTTCAGCCGCAGAAGCTGTGTAGCCTGTGTGTCAATGATTAATAGATCAATGGTGTTTTATTTAGGTGCGGCATGTTGGTGATTGGACTGTGTTCGTTATGCATGTGCATTGACTTTTTGAACGTGTGAAGCATGTTCTGTTTATGTACATTTAGTGCAAGTTAAACTCAGCAATTCAAATTACTCACAGAGAGTGCAACAAAATGCAAATGCAGAGCTAATGCGGTTCCATTTCCAAGCTACCTGTATCCTTTGGGAAATGCCTATTATCTTCAATTACAAATGCTATAGATTCACATGCCCAAAAAATACAATTATGTGAATCTAGCAGCGTAGTGTTGCGCTGTGTTAACCAATTATGAAAGCAGAGGAGTTGGGGTTAAAGTGACACCTTTTATAAGTTAAAGTAAAAGTATAAAGCTGCAAGCATTTTAAAAAACACATGGGGCCTATTTAAAAAATAATTGTACAGCTATTGGTCCAGTGAAACTGCATGTGCATTTGTTCTGTGCAAACTAAACAACTGTTGTGAGAATGAGGAAAAATAACCAGGTATTTCCACTAAATGGTGAAGAGTTTGGACGAGGCATGAGAAGTGAACAATCTTATACAACATAGCTGAACTGGAAAGTGAGCTGAATTGGAGAATTTTTCCAGTTCGGCTATGTTGTCATACATTGTTCACTTCTCCTGACTTCTCCAAACTCTTCACCCTTTAGTGAAAAGACCTGTAAATGTTCTTAAGGCTATACTCGCTTCTGGTTGAATGTTTGTCAAATGTAATGGGCAGTAATGAATCAGGAAAATACCACTGAATGGCCACAAGATGGAGCTAAAGATCATAGGAAGAAAATAACATTAATAACTGTAACCATAGTAACAATGGTTACCTTTATCTGCTAATCCCCAACAGTGTTCTCTAGAATTGTTACATTGTATCTCTTGTTACTAAAATGTATTTATCTCCCAAACAATAACATTTCCTTTTTGATTTTTTTTTCTAGGGGTCACACTAAAGTTTCCAGACTGGCATATTAAGGGTATGCATTACGATTACCTTGTATTTGTTTTTCACTGTAAAATGGTTAGTTTACCTAAGGCTGGCCATACAACTGTCAATTTTTTTAATTCAACCCCCAGGCTAAACAGAAAAAAATTACACAATTCCTCCAACACAAACAGCGTGTCGATCGAGGAACCGCCAGCACCTGTCAGAATACCCGTTCAGAGCGGGCAGCTCATTGGCTGCCGGCTCTGATCGCACAAAGATTTTTCCAGCAGGCTCCTTCGATCAGTTAATCGAGGAATCCCGGCTGAAAGGGAGCCAACAGCCCCACACACTGTGCAAATTTCGGCCGGTACATTAAAAACTGGACGAAATTCGGACAGTGTATAGGCACCTTAAAGCTGTTATTTCAGTCTTGAGTAGATGTTATTTAATTAGATCACTTTCCATCTCTGCATTTGAATTGCCAGCACCACCAGCATTTAATATTTATATACCTTATATATTTGTATATTGTCAAATCTACATTAGACATTATAAAGTACTTTGGATATTTGCATCGTGTATATAACATTCCTCATCAGTCCTTTCCCCAAAGGCGCTTACTGTCTAATGTGAAACTAAGGGAAAGTAGGCTGCTTAGCACTCACTGACAGTTATCCAAGCAGCAAGAATAAATGTTTCATTCCATTTTATTTAATATTTGGTAACAGTAATACCCTTCTTCTATATTTTCAAATCACAAGTATAAAAATACACCAAGTATTTACCAGTGAATAGTGATAAGAAAACACTTTTATACTTGTGATTACAAATATCAATGCCATGACAAAACTTAACAAAAAATAAACGATGGTGCCAAAATGTCCCACCCCTTGCAGCTTTCACTTTCAATTCAGGGAAACTTAACTGAAAGAACAGAAAACAGACGGAAAGTGCACAAGCCTAGTGCAGTATCATTTAAGGCCCCATTCACACTGAGCAATTAGCAAATTGATTTGCATTTTGCGCGGTTTGTCGCGCGATATCGCGCAAATGGTTGCATTGAGCAAACTAGAATCGCGGCAAAATCCGCTCCATAAAAAAGTCCTGCTGTAGTGACGCACGACCCGCGACAGCGACGGACAGAGCCCCATTGCCATGCATTGGAGAGCGATATCGCTCAGTGTGAATGGGGCCTAACACCACTATAATCAAAAGTAATTTAAAAAAAGTATAATTACACTCACATTCATATAGATAAAAGATCAAAATCTGCATAGAGGGAGCCAGTCAGTGCTGCTCATAATCCTCCCAATGCCAACAACCGGAAGTATGATTGGTGGTGATGAGTGAGAGTTCTTTACTTTTTGATTAAAATAGTGTTAAAATATCCTAACCTATGCTCATGCATTTTCTATTTTATGTATTTACCATCTAACATGCCTACCTTACTCACACAAGCAAATACACATCATAGCTAGTTTGGGTAGAAGCTGTTTAAAGTGAACCTGATTTAACCTAAAACAATTATAAGGTGACAGTGCTGGAGTGCTGGTACCTTGTGGTGCCTGTAAGTACCTTGTGTTAGTCATCTATCCCTGGGTCACTGCTATTGATCTTAGGCTGTAAATTGGGCCTCTGCTTCTCCCTAAGTTAGAACTGACCCTGTCAGGGGGTCCTTGAGATCACAAAAGAACTAACCTATAAGAAAACTGACTTATACATACAGGTCTGTTGGTAAAACTTCACGCTATAGCAAATCTTTCAAGATAAATCTAATTTCACAGTTCTGCTGTGTGCAATAGTGTGGCCCTGCCTGGCAACTTAGGTTCTTCCTGATGACCCCTATGTCACATTTGTGTCCTGTAATGACTAGGGGTCAGCAGGAGGAGCCACAGTGGCCAGCATGGGGACCCACTATTCAACCAGCCCAAGGAGTCAAATCAGATTGGCGCCAGGATCTGCTATAGCATAAAGCAGCAAATGGGCCAATGGGCAGGGATGTCAGTTCTTTTGTGATTTTGGGTTCATTTAAGCACCCCACCTCTTGGTTCTTAGTCCATCATTCAAGCCCGTTATTCAACTATCTAATTGTAGAACTTCAATGGGCAGTAGAGCCTTTTATATGTAACAGTAAATTAAAGATGTGGGGCTTGCTGTAAAGGGGAAGGGGTTTAATATGAAACTTGGCAGAAGCCAAAGTACTGTATAAAGTCTAGGATCTAGGAAGGTGTGGTGACAAGAATTTAGGGATCAGTTTGAAAACTGATCATAGGTTGTATTTCAGCACTGCTCTCATCTTACAAATATTTTAGGCTAGTTTACTTTAACCTTCCAGTCTCACTCTTGCTTAAATTTTACCCCTTATATATTACATTAAGTAAAATGCAACATGAGGATTAATGTTGCCCTTGATTATGCAATTTTGTTGGCAACTTTGGAGCTTTCCATCCAATTTCAGCCACTATACTTCCAGCCATAGTTAAAAATTTGTTTGCCTGTTTTGGGTGAAATATTGGTTAAAAGTGTTCAAAAATGCCTTTAAACTGGCATTGCACTGATTTTTCAGTTTACACAACAATTTTGACCATTTGTTTGCCCAAAGTGAAGCTACACTTTGCCCGTACAGCACAAACCACAGGTTCACTAATATATTTATGCAATTTGACTGGTTGAGTAAAGCAAAAACCTGGAACATGTGAGTCTCTCCCCTTCCTTCTACAATACAATGTTGAGTGCATGAGCAGTCAATCAGCTGGCCCCAGCGCTGTCACGTGGACCTGTAGAGAGAGTCCTTAACTATGTATATGCTTTAACCAGAGCAACTTAGAGCTTACACAGGCTGCTTCTCTTCACTCCAGCTGGCAAAGGGGGCAATGCCATACAGCCATGCATTGGCAAATGACCTCTTTATAACTGTAAAACAAATGAAACAGTGAGTGAGAGCTCATAGAAAGCTCTAAAATTGCCAACAGATGCTTTGAGTAACTCCCTTCTATAACTTTGTCATGGTTGTAGTAAGGCCATTGGTACTGTGGTGGGAAGATGTTGCTGGAATCCCCATTTAAAGGAGAACTATGGGGAGAGTGAAATGCACTCATCCCCATAGTTGGAGCTGACGTGTGAGACTGCAGGTGTCACACGTTGGCTTTATTGATCGAAAACTGAGCAAACACAAACTGATGATCACTCTGTCATGATCTTCTCCCTGCAGAGAGCGGTGACTGTCAGTCACTCTCCCGCAGGGATTCCCCTCCTCCCCTCTCATTCCTTTAGCACTCATTGGAGGGACAGTCAGGGGAGGGGGACGCCACAGCTGTCTCTGGCTCCAGAGAGGTAGAGCCAGCTGTCAATCAGGTAGCGGGGTGGATCCTGACAATTTCCCAGATTTCGCGGCTGCTGTGAAATTAGCTTTGGCCATAGTTCTCTTTTAAATCAGTGTCTGATAACTAAAATGTCAGCTTTACATGGGGTTTAAAAGGGGAAAAGTTGACCCATTAGTAAACAAAAGGGGCTCTATGGCACACCCCCTTCTTAAAATAGTAGTTCCTGATGTATTGATTTTGAGCTAATTTTTCTTTCTGTTTTTTTTTTTTTTTTATGTTACAGAAATTCCATTTGTTTTTTATCAAGGAAAAAGTTACTTTTTCCATGAAGTAAATGCCGACTTTGCCATCTTTGAGTTTGTATGTGGCTGGATGCGAGGTTACATAGCCTCCATACATTCTGAGGCTGAACAAGAATTCATTCACAGAACGATAAAAAAGGTAAGTTCTGAAAAGAATAATGTTGTGGGTTCTGCAGCCATTCCATCTAATTTTATTTTTTGTTTATTTATTAAAGCTATTTATATAGCACTGACAATGTTCGCAGTGCTTTATATACTGCGCATATACATCAGTCCCTGCCCCCAAGGAGCTCACAATCTAAGATCCCTATCTCACATGCATACATACAGGGCCAATTTAGACAGGAGCCAATTAACCTTCCAGAAAGGCAGGAGTGCTAACTACTAAGCCGCTGTGATGCTCTTATTTCGCTGAAGGCTATTGCCAGCCAAAATGTCATTGGGAAAGGGTTAGGTTTTTATTTTTCATCCCTATTGCGAATATAGTCTAACGCTTCCTGTGCCCGTGATGCCTGTATAAGAAATGGGGGGGGGGGGGGCGAGCGGGCCGAAAGGCAGG